CTTTAAGGCTCCTAGACTGAATTTCTCAGTAACCTGATTCCTGCCCTCCAAGCCCTATGTCTGAAATCCCTTGTTTCCCACGTAGACAGCCTTCCTCTGCCAGTCTTGTGTTTCTATCTGAGTAGTTGACCAGCTTCCTTTTTGCTCCTATTTTCCTGCTGTTCAGGTTACTCAAAAGCTTGAAATAGTCGAATTCTCTGGGGACTTCTGTAGGGAATGACTCCAAAGGATCAAATGGAAGGATCTAGGCCATGAGTTGAGCGGCTGACGCGGGGAAGAAGACTTCCAAGAGCACAGGACACAGGAAGACCTTTCTATTCCTCACGTCCCTCTGCACCAAGGTCCCCCAAAGCCCAGGATCTGTAACCCTTACAGCTTTGTGTTTTCTCTCCTCTGTGTTCAGGCAGAGGGAGCTTCAGGGCTGTAGGAGCAATTCATTTCTCTGTCCAGCATTGCTCATACCGATGTGAACAAAGAGCCTGTCTTCGCGGATCTCACAGTTTGGCAGGAAACAATAATGAATACATGTAGCAACAAGAAGTGATAAATGCTATGCAGAAAGAAAATGGAGGGGTTGTATCTAAGTGACAGGGTGCATGCTTCCCATGTGTGAGGACCTGGGTTCAGTTTCAAGGACAGAAACAATAACTAGACATGATGAAGAACAGAAAATGATGAAGGGTGGTGGGAGGGCTACTATTTATTAAGGTGGATGGAGAAGCTTTTTCTGAGATGGAATCTTTTAAGTAAAAACCTGAACGACGTTAAGGAACAAGATGCAAGCATAGCCGAGGAAAGAACATTCTAGCAGAAGAAAACAGCTCAAGGTGGAAGTGTGCTCACCCACCCCGGAGGAGACTAAGGAGACCAGCGTGGAAGGGGAAGACGCTGGGAGGATGTACTTTAGGAACAGCCAACCTTACACTGAGTAACTATTTTGGAGATAATAAAACAGTATCAACTAGGTTATTCTCTTGTTATTTTGTTATGGATTTTTTTCATAAAATAAAAAAAAAAGCATTTAGAGCAGTATCTGGAACACATTCAGTTCTTTCTACATAAATGTTCAGTAAAGAAATCACTGATTATTGACCTTTTACTCAAGAAAAAAAAAGCAAAGGACTAGTGAGAGCTTTGGATTTTATTCTGTTGTGATGGGAAGTCATTTGAAGATCTTGAGCAGAAGAGTGAAACGATCGAGTTTATAACAGAATTTGTCTTGCTGATAAATGAAGAATACACTATATGGGGTGGGGGGGAGGGGCGGATACAAAAGACCAAATGGAGTGCACTGATAGTCTAAGAAGTGTTGGGATTCAGGAAGTGCTTTAAAGAGAATTGGTAAGACTTGCTAATGGGTTGATTATGAAGTGTTTAGCTTCAGCATAACGTTTTTGGGTTTTGACCTGGGCAGCTAATTGAATGCAAGTGCTATTTACTGAGCTGAGGACACTGAGATGGGATTAGATTTAGGAGAACAAGCCAAGTGTGCAGGTTTAGATTTAGGAGAGAAGGCTGATTTACAAGTTCTTGGGGGACCACAGGCCTCTAGTAGCTGTTACTGGGGTTAACCTTTAACAGGATGTGACTAGGTACAAGTGACAGGCAGAAATAAATTCCCCCTGAGTAACCCTCTAGCTGTCCAAGTGAGTAAAAAGTAAGTTAGTCAGAAGAACTGATTCTCTTTGGAAAATTTCCCAATTTCAGTTATCTTGATTTCTGAATTGGGATCAGAGTAACTTATTCCACAATTAGAGATAGAAAGCTTAAAATGTAAACAGTTTAACAGATAATCCAGGATGTGCGGGGTTTTGTCAGAATATAGCTGATGAAGGTCCTGAGTGTTTTAATGGGAAAAGTTGTCAGTGTCAACAGAAAGCATGTAGATAAAACAAACACTTTATGATTTTTCCTGGCGCTGTCCTGTTTACCATAACGTCTAAATAACAGAGTTGAAAAACAAGCTTTCATATCGTGAAAGATGACCCAGGCCAGTGATGGCGAACCTTTTAGAGATTTCAGCGATACAAACAGCTGGCTGCGGCACCTGGGCCATAGGTTCGCCACCACTGCTCCAGGCCTCTACTTGAGTGGGAGTAAGTGTCTAAATTCTTTCTCTTTTCCACCTTTCAATCCTTAGTCTCTTCCCAGAGGTGTTCTTGAACTGGAAGGCTGATGGCACGACAGCTGACAGCATGACAGACACTTGTCGCCTCTCTGCTAGGACCAGATTTCAAACAGCCAGCCCTGGAGAATGCTATTTATCTGTGCAGTTCTCCATTAGGGGTTGTGGTTCTTGGGGGGAAGGGTTACCACATGTGACACCAGAAAGGATTTAAGGCAGAATAATACTGTATAGACTTATTGCAGAATATTTAACAAAAACCGTAAAAACCAAAACAACAAAAAGACTTCACATTTCTCCTAAGTGGGGACAACTTAGTAGGAAAATGAAGTCTTTTTTTGTTTTGAGTTTTAAAGTTTTTGTTAAATACTCTGCAATAAATATATACAGTATTCCTCTGGTAATCAAACACACACATACACACACAATATAAAAGCTGACATGTCAGAAAAGATCAATATGGAAAAAAAATTTACCAATGTTCTTAAAACACTCAAATTTTTTCCTTCTTTTTTTTTAAAAACATGGGCTGAAACTTGTAATTCTCCTACCTCGGCTTCACAGAGTGCTGAGATTCCAGGTGTACACCACCACAATTGGCCTTGAAATATTTTAAATATTGACTCAGAATATTTATTTTTATTATAAAAGGCAGGTTTCTTTGCGTATTTTGTATCATTTCATGCTATTCAGTGGAAGACAGCTTAGCTGGGCTGTAGTCCATGAGTTATGAAATCAGTTTGCTTGCTATGATCAGTACTTAAAGAAACAAAATACAGCCAGGTGTGGTTGTGCATGCCCGTCATCTCAGCACTCTGTAAAGCTGAGGCAGGAGAATCACAAGTTCAAACCCAGCCGGGGTGACTTAACGAGAAATAAAAAAATACAAAAAAGGAGGGATATAACTCATTTCAAGGGCCTGGGTTCAATCCCCAGTATCAAAAACAATAGACTTGAATTGAAAATGCACGTGTGCATTACCCTTGGTTAAGGGAAGTGTTTCTTTGTGATTGTTTTGTTCTATATGTAGGTAGCATAGAACACACTTCTTACTGCGGGGTATGGTTCAGAAAAAATAATTTGAAGCCACTGGTATAGTGGAAAGAATCTGGACTCTGAACTAGACAGACCCGGGTTTGCCTCTGGCCTCTCTGTGTCACTTTTGCCAGTTACGTTGCCCACTTCTGGCTAATTCACTCGTTGAGCAGAGAGTAATAATACCTTGCGTTCGTGTGTGGAGAAGAGATTACTTGAGCAGAATGCTTACTGCAGAGGCAGTGATTAATTCATACATAATTACTTCTGATCCTTCCTCCAAATAATGCCATCCACGTAAAGCAGCTTCACTAAGGAGAGGGAAGGCGATCTGTTTTATGGATGACTAGATCTGTTCCCGGGTATTCTAGTTTTACAAATACCTCGCCGAGTCTCCTTCTCCATTTCGGTGTGGTCGGGAGACAGAACAGAGTTCTTTCCGCGCTCGCACCGCGCTTGGCGCATCCCGCGGACTCGGGCCCCGCCTTGCGCCGCCAGCACTGCGGCGTCCTCCGCGGGCACTCGGGGGCCCAGGCGGGCGGAGGCGACGCCGGC